TCCGCCTAAAGATCCAGCCCATGAGGGCTGTCTTACGGCGGAGGCCATAAAAGCGAAGAAGGCCTTCGCCAAGAGGAGGAGGCAGCACCTAGACGAGGATGCGGCCCCTGACTCGTTTGGGGTGGTCAAGTTCACCCCAAGATTGCAGAAGGCACGAGTCGAGGAGGAAGAGCTCTCTGATGAATTTAAGGAGACCTCATCGGCGGACCTGAGCGCCATCGTCACCGAGCAGGTGACCAAGCTTAGAATAGTGGCACAGGGTTGTACGAACCTGAAAGGAACCACGATCAAAGCACTGTGGGACGCCTCAGTGCAGATCTCTGCGGCGGCGATGGCGCTCAACAAGCGAGCGCAACAGGGGGGCCATGCGGTGGCGGCACTGGAGTGGGAAGAGCTCCGGAAAGAGGTCCGCCAGCTCCGGGGGGATATGACGCACTTAAGGGCGGAGAATGATGCCCTTAAGGCCGAGCTGAAAAAGGAAAGAGCCGAGAGGTGGAAGATGGAGAAAAAGGCACGGGAGAAGGAGAAAGTGGAGAAAGAGAGGAGTGAGATGGGATCTGGGGTGGCTGACCCAGCCCGTGACTCCACAAAACCACCGGGAAGACCCACAAGGCAAGATGCGGCCCGGTGGGAGAAGGTGGTAGACAGCAGCAAGGACGAGGCCCCAATGGACACGGGTGAGGTGGAAAGTGTGGCCCCTGAAACCACACACCCACCGGTGGAGCCGGCCAGCAGGCTGCTGCTAGGGGAAATCATCCCCCCGGCATTCCGCCCCCCTCTCAAAGGAGTGCGAGCGGAAATCGAGCCGGCTCGGCAGTACGAGGGGCCGAGAGCTCTCACGGTGGATGACCTCAACACCGCACTTGAGGTCATTCTGCCGCAACTGCTCAGCCGGGTGGGGCTATCACATAAGGCCACCAAGCGGCGGAGGTCCCTCCTCCTGATCCCATCACTAGGTCTACTGTTTCCGGAGGGGGGGAACGCCCCAGGAGTCAGAAAAGGGACGGTCCTTTCCTACTGCGTCAGCCTTCAGCGGGAATGGTGGCGGGTAACAACCCGTCCCTCACCCCAACGACACTGGGCGGCACGGGGGGGAAAAAGAAAGAGAATAAGGATGGGAGGAAGAAGAAGGGGAAGGGAGCTGCGGAAACTACCGCTGCTTCCCGACCCCCACCGGTAACATCCTCAGCCCCCCCCCTCCTCAACCTGCTCTCGCCAAGGGTCAGGTCGGCGGCAGCGCGTCATCTGGCAGGGTGACGGCCGCG